AACTCGAGTTACCCTAATGTTTTTCGTGGACACCCATATGTACTTCGAGTTATCACGTGTCCATTTGTACTTCATATAAAAAATAGGTTTTTAGCCCTTGTAGTTATGGTAAAATTTCATTGACGAAATAACTAATGCTAAGATACCAAAAAACAGCCCCCAAATATATTCGCCGTCTCCAGTCGGGGGCAAATGTAACACGTGTTACAATTGGCTTTGCATGTATAAAAAAGTATGTGTTTTTAAAAAATGTGGTTTTGTTTATAAAGGCAAAAAAAGTAGCCTATCTATAAGCTCAGACATGCGAAACTACATACTTGATGAATTAATGGGTCTGTAAATATGCTCTTTTGTTCACCAAGGCAATAAGTAGCCCCAGTTATATATTGTTTATTCATATTAAATGGAGTCAATACGCATTTGTCATAGTTTTTTTTATTAAAAAAATTATTATTATTGTGGTTTCTATAAATTGCTAGTTTAAATTGTTGAAAAATCTGTCCAACGTGCACCTTAATAAAAAATATAAAAAATCGTTTCTGAGATATGATTTTTGGTAAAATTGTATGATTTACAATTGCCCCATTGTGTGATTAAATTGCCCGTGTTTGTGTTTTGCATTGTAAACACTTGACTTCCAGTTTGAAATGATAATGCTCAAATATACTTGTTTTTACTTAAACCCAAAAACTATGTCATAATTTCGAAGCAAAGATAATGCCCATCTTTAGATTTCATATACCTGAGTAAGTATTTAAACTATGATTAAAGTTGTTATGTCAGATTTGAAAAAAGTGGGTTACAATTGTCCCGGTCTTCCCGCTACCCACTGCCGTACGCACGTGCCGTTTTCCATGACAGATAGGATTCGTTGTATAAATATCGATATAGTGTAAGAGCCGTAGTTAATTTACATAGGGAGTGAACATAAATAAAAATCCGGTTTTATTCCACTGCCTAATTATAAAATAATTATAAAATACTAATTATTTATTATGAATATGTATACTATTTTTATTCACTCCTAATTATAATAATAATTTTTTTAAAAAAATACATAATATTATTATGATATGTATATTTTTATTCACTCCTAATTATAAATAATATAAGTACATAATTATTTATTATGATATGAGTAACCTATGAATCCAATAAACGAACATTGTGAAAATAACTAGCCTGTAAATTAAGACGCATGGTGTTTAGGCCTGACAATGCGGTCCGTTTCTGTTGCGCTAGGGTGCCGTGTTCCCAGCCATGCACACAATTTGGTCGCATTGGGCAACGCAACGCTAGTAGAAGGAGTAAACTTGTGGGCTTCACTTATGCCGGTGAGTCTCTGATGGTGCCTTATCACAATACCTATACAATTTGCGCGACTTGTTTAGGACTGCCACGATGGTAGTATTTCTGATAAAAGTGTATAATATTGGTGGTGGTGGTGATGTTGTTGTTGATGTGGCGGTGGTGGCGGTGGTGGTGATGAATGTCGTGGTGGTGTAGTGGCGGTGTGTTGAGCGCGGTTGAGTTGATGCGGTGGTGCGTGGCGGTGAGATGATGTCGGTGTAGTAGCCGGTGTGCGGTGCGTGTATGATGTCGTGTAGTAGCGGGCGGGTGGTGGCGGTGGCTGGCGGTGATGATCGTCGTGTGGTGTAGTGGCGGTGGTGTGTATGGCGGTGGTGCGGCGGTGGCGGTGATGATGTCGCGTAGTGGCGTGGTGGCAGTGGTGGTGATGATGTCGATGTAGTGGCGGTGGTGGCAGTGGGTGGTGATGATGTCGTGTAGTGCGGTGGTGCAGTCGGTGGTGATGAATGTCGATGTCCGTGGTCGGTGGTGGCAGTGGTGTTGATGATGTCGGCGTAGTTGGTGTGTGTTGATGCGGCGGCTGTGAACGCTCATGTTTAATAAGGTTGCTAGGCGCTCTGCTACCAGTTGCCAGATTGTAATTTCATGCAACCTGCGCTTGCTGCATACTGTGTGCACGGCTTTTGACGGAGGCTGCCGTCAGTGCTTCTACGTACTTGGTAGATGTCCATAGCAACTATTAGTAGCCATTGTATTACAAATTCCGTTTTTACAAGAGTTTCCTGTAAGTTTTGTTTTGATGCATTGGAACTGTAAAAATAGCTGGCTATCCTCGTAAAATTCGCAATGGCGCTCGCCCTGGACGATTATATGTGTCGCGGCGCTCTTCTCTCTCTCTCTCTCTCACCCCTCTCTCTGTCTCATCCGTCTCGTCTCTCTCTTTTCTCTCTCTCTCTCCTCTCTCTCTCTCTCTCTCTCTCTCTCCGTCTCGTCCGTCCCCCTGCTCTCTCTGGCTCTCTCTCTCTCGTTCTCTCTATTCTCTCTCTCTCTCTCTCTCTCTCTCTCTCTCTCTCTCTCTCTCTCTCTCTCTCTCTCTTCCTCTCTCTCTCTCTCTCTCTCTTTCTCTTTCTCGCGTTCTTTCTCTCTGTTGCTCTCTCTCTCTCTTTCTTCTTCTTCTTCTTCTTCTTCTTCTTCTTCTCTCTCTCTCTCTCTCTCACTCACTCTCTCTCTCGCTCTCTCTCACTCTTTTTTCCCTTTTTTCACCTTCCCCTTTTTGTGTCTCGCTCTCTATGAATTAATTAATCAATTAATTATTTTATAACAACCATATGGTTACAGTTATGAACACTGCAACAACTTGACTGCTTAATTATTACTGATAACTGATCGTAGTGTGATGATTGTTGTGCAGGGCTTTTTGGTGTGGTCTGGTGTGTAGTTTGGCTGCTCGTCGCAGCGGACACGCCTCACTCTAGTCGCTGGATCACCCACGATGAACGCCACTACATAGAACACAGCTTGGCCGGCCAGATGTCGTACGAAATCAAGGTAATAAAGAGCGATTGAGGAATATGCGATGAAATAACCGAGTTCGAGAATGACGATATAACTCCGATTTCGATCATATAATAAGTACGCGATTGCGACTGCGAGTTTAAAACGTACCACGCGCAGTAGTAAGCAGAATTGTCAATATAAGATCTGTGTTAATTAAAGGATCGAAGCACTCCTTGGCTAACGATATGGACGTCAAAGAGAGTGTGGGCCATCGTTGTTGCTCACACCTGTGCGAACTGGGGCACCTACACATTGCTCACCAACATCCCCACCTTCATGAAGGAAGTGCTCAAGTTTAACATCAAAGCCGTGAGTGTACTCGTAACTGTGTCCAAAATAGAACTCATACAATGTGTCGAGAATGGGCATGAAAATCGTTCCGTTGAATGTGGGATTGTTTAGTTGGGTTTTCTTGTTCGCAGAATGGCGCTTTCTCGGCCATCCCTTATATTGGTTTCTGGGTGGGAATCAACGCTGCTGGCTTTGGTGCGGACGCGTTGAGAGCGCGAGGCTGGAGCACAACAATTGTGCGAAAGCTATTCCATTCATCGTGTGAGTATGCAAAACGCACAGCTTATTGGTCATCTGTAATCGGGACTTGATTATCGTCACAAAATGTTCAGAATTGTGGACCGATTAGTTGCCTTGACGTTAGAGAAATAGGTGCAACTGTTATAGACCTTTGCACACCTAATACCAACAAATTAGCAATCTTATATAAGTATTATTAGTAAACAAAGTATACAAAGTATTACTATAATAACAATAACAACAACAGAAGATTATTACAAAACATTCGTTTAACCATTCGTGAATAATAAAGAGCCAGCATACTGTATACGCCATATTTTTCGCGTACAGATATTTTCGCTAATTCAGAATTCGCGAGTGGTTAATTTCGCGGTCGGTGAATTATGAATTATTCGGTATTATTCAGTATGAATTATTCGCGGGGACGCGTTCGCGAAATTCGCGAAAATTAAACCAAATATACCGAAATATACAGCTTATACAGTAACTTAGAGTAAAAATGTCTATATTAGGTACTAGCAGGACACCCGGCGTTGCCCGGGAAATAAAGCGCTCAGTTGGTGACCACTTGGTTGAAAGAGAAATACCCAAAAATATATCTATCTATCTATCTATCTATCTATCTATCTATCTAGCTAGCTAGCTAGCTAGTATATAGAGTGGCCGATATTGATTTGAATCGAGAACAGACGAACAGAGAAACTTTCACAAATATGTATTAGATATGTACCCCTACACGTTTAACCCTACACGTTGCTAAGTTACGGCTACTGTCATCTAATCAAAATGTGTACCACAATATTTTATTTTACTTTTCGTCAGCTATGGTCTTGGCAAGTATATTCCCTGATAGTGACCGTCTACCTGATTGTACGCGGCCGTATTTGGCTGTGGCGATTCTCACCGTGGCTGTCACATTTTCTGCTCTTCAGTATGGAGGTAAGTACACCTAAAACACAGTTCTACTATTTCCGAAGAGCTGTGTTATTAGGAAATGAAAGAAGAATGAAAGATTAGAGGACTACGAATAACAAAAAACGAGGAAAAACAATAAGAAAAAAAAACGAAGTAATGGTGGTATAGATGAAGTGGCAGTGGGGATGATTAGTAGCGTGAAGGATTATGTAGAAAAGCGTACTATGTAAGAACAACGAAATGGTAATGTATGCTGTTCTATTCTTATTCTTTTACATTTGTAGCATTGTTGCTTTATCTTCACAGGCTTCATTGTCAATCATGTTGACATTGCCCCCAAGTACGCCGGAGTGTTGTTTGCATCTCGAACACGTTCGTACACTTTCTGAATCTTTGCTCCATACGTGGTCGGTCAAATCACCACAGATGTAAGTTCCCTGAACATTGGTAACACGCGTGTTAGATCTACAACCTAAAGTAGGGCTTATTGTTACGCGTAAAACTATATGGCGCATTTTAATCACGTTTGTATAACTAAAAATCTACTTTTTATTGCCACTGTTTTTTGATTCTTATCTTAATCAGTTTGCAATGTTTTATTGTACATATATTGTCTATTGTTATGTCTTATGTCTTTGTAATATTTACACAATATGTTTTAGTATTAACCCGGTAGTTAAATAGAACTTGGTCTGAAATATACAGACTGCAGTTGCTCATTAGAGAACATGCAATGACTCGCATACGATAAGCCTCCGTCAGTTTCTCTCCGCGTTTGTTGCAAAATCCACTAGCCTATGTCATCCTCCACAGGGAACACAGCAACAGTGGCAGACGGTGTTCTACATCACTGCCGCCATCATGGTAGGCGGCGCCATCTTCTACTTCATATTTGGCACAGGAGAGCTGCAAAGTTGGGCCACAGAGCTCGATGAAGCCGAGTCAATAGCTGACCTCGTCGACGAAGATAAGGCGAGATAGAACTCTTCACATTTTGGTTTTTAGTTGAGCACATACATGTGCGTGCTTGCCCACGTGTGTACTCGTTCGCATATAAGCAAGAGCACGTAAACTCTAGCTTTACGTAACAGTATGGGCGCTATAATAGTATATATTGAGAATTATATCTAGAGGACAGCTTGAAACGTATGGTTGATGATCTCTTAAACAGCTACTTTACCTACTTGTAGTGGAACACAAAGAGATGACAAGGACAGCGAGCCTGCTGCTGAAAACACCGTTTCAACTAAGATGTAGCCAATGACGTTTTCACAGTATATATGCTCTCGTCAAACTCGCGTGTTATCAACGTTAAAACATATCTAGATTGGAACATAACATCATAATTTTTTTCCATACTCGTAGACGGGCAGAGACGAGAATATTGTCATCGCCCTACATCGTGCGAATAAATGCCAACACAGGCATCTGACACGTTTACATGAGTTTGTAGAATGATATCATATGCATGCATCTGTTCGGTGTATCCGTCGTAATGCGTTGTAAACATGTAAAACTAAAGTGTAGAGCTAAGTTTTGTTTCCGTGTTTGTTACTACCCTAAGAAAAGAAAGATAGAAACTATATGGTTCACAACCAGGCTATGAGGTTATAATAAAAAACGCCATTCTCGGTGCAAGTGTGGTGGTAAAGATAAATAGACTCAAAGCAAAACTGGCTAATGCCGTTTTGGCGCGCACGTGGTCTGAGCAACACGGGATGGCGTGATGTAGCCTCCATAGCATTCCTTGCCCCTCCAAGATTCGTATATAGACTCTAAAAATATGGCTGCATTAGTATGGGGGCGGGGTGAGCGTTTTTGTTTGATTGTTGCATTCTTGACAATTGGCAATCGGCGATTCCTGCGGTTATGTTATATATGCAAACTAAATGCCTTTAGTTTATAAATATGTTATTATGTGTTGGTTCAGCGACCAGCAAATGTGCTGGTGTTAATATTCTTGTATTACGGAAGTAAGGTGATACCTATAAAAGACGGACTGGTCAGTAATATTCGAGGGCAGTGGCAGTCTGACTGAATAAATAATGTAGAAAATGTTTCATAAAAGTCAGAAAATAAAGCTGTTTACTCGTGTTCTATGGTTTTTATGTTTGGTGACAAAGAATCGAATATTCATAGACAATGGTGAAAGCAGCCGTTTGTTCAGTCGTTTGCGATATCGATGTGCTGCGCTTTTAATCATTTTATGTAAAAAGGCGCAATATAAATAAAAATAATAATAATAATAATAAATGTATAACAGTCATAGACAGAATTCGGGAAGATTTGCCAATGTAGCAGGCGGCCAGATATGCGTGCTGGGCATACGCTCTCCCAGCTGGATCGCGGGCTATCATGATCGCGACTTTCCTTATTGTTATCTTCCCCAGAACGAAGTTCGTGGGGATACTATGTGTTTGCATCGTTCGCGCCGACCGCCGCCGCCGCCGCCGCAGAGATTTCTTGTGAACGCTCTACCGGCTGCAGTTCTTCTCGGATCATCTTCAAATTTCGCATGAAGGTGCGTTACCGTAAAGCGAATACGGCTATCGTTTTTGGTGTGGGCGGAGTCATCGTTGTCATGGTAACAACATTTTTTGTCCGAAATATCTAGAACCTGTAACTTCTGCACTTTTTAACCCGCATTGTCATGAAATTTATATTTAAATTATATTTAAATTTAAATTTAAAAATTTAAAAATAAAAAATTTTAATTTAATATTTGTATTAAAAAATTTGTATTTAAATTTATATTTAAATTTATGATTGTCATCAAATATATATATCTATATACATATATGTATATAAATATATAGGACATGTTATATCGGCCCTGAGTGTGCCAAATTCCATGACAATCGTGATAAAACAGCACAAGTTACAGTTCTACCAATTTTCCACAAAAATGTTGTTACCATGGCAACGATAACTCCGCCCACACCAAAAACTATTGCGCGTCTTCGCTTTACCATAACACGCACCTTCATACCAAATTTGAAGATGATCCGAGATCGGGTAAAAACTGCCCACCAGGTCAGGTCACTGCGACTTTTATTTCACCTTTACCTTGAGCCTTGATCCATATTCATATATAATCTCGGCCCCTAATTGACCTAGTGTGACAAACTTGGTCTTCACTTACACATCTTGGGGAGAAGGTGGCAAGCCGTACCAAAACCAGGTCACTGCGACCTTTATTTTGACCTTTACCTTGACCTTGATCATATTTCCTTTTCGCTCTCTAACTCAGCCCCTAATTGACCTCAGCGCGCACCAAACCTTGCGGTATGCTTAGCACATCATTGGGAGAAGGTTCTGTCCCGCTACGCAAAACCACCACTGCCCTTGAACCTTACGATTTAAGACATTTCACCGTCGACTATCATTGTCCTCTTCGCCTTGCTAGGGTAACCAGATTCCAGTGTTATACTTGCACATCTTGAGGGCACACCGCTGTCTAGGCAAACTTGTGGTCTTTGCGACCTTAGTGTATAAACTTTACCTGCCCTTCTATTCGTCCTTACATATCCATATTTATACTACGATCACGGGAATACAGTGTAGTTGGCCGACGAACTGCGCTCGTTTCTAGTTTTTCTTAAATCTCTATCTTGAACTTTATTTTTATCATATATTGTTGTAATGGGGTTCGCAGGTCAGCTTATTGCCGGCAAATATATCTGCCGAATTTATATATAAATTGTCGATCTCACAATAATGGGCCACACGCTCGTTCGTTGTACCTTTCGACGAAAAAGCGCATGTATTTATACCTCGTCATTCTTCACTGTCGAATGTCCGGCGATATGCAGGCTCGAGGATGTGTAAATATATAGGCTCGCAGGTCCTAAAGGTGCTCATCACGCTGCATGCACGAAGCGCGCTGTCGGTGAAGGTGTGGAGCGAAGGTAATGCTTGCAATATATACACTGTTGTTCGACGGGAGGGAGCGTGATTCTTTTTGCAATTGTACCAAACGTTGGGTGAAGCATCGTCGTCTTCTCTCGAAAACAAATCACGGAAACATCCTCCGTGGTGTTTGTGTATATCATGCAGCAGTTGGAGTTAGATTGTTCCATGCACGCGTTCCTGCCATTTCTGCTGCTACTCCTGCCACAAATACGGGAGGTCACTATCGTGTGAGCTCGAACGTGTGGTCGCGAACGACGGCAACTATCCGGTAAAGCGAAGCCAGAAACAATCGAAGGCAAACATTTTAACGAGTGGTTAGTTGAATTATCGAGACTGTGAGCTTCACGTATACATCGAAAACGTACATGCGCGCAGTGGCGGCATTAAATCCAGCATGATAGAGAAGAATAGACAGACATAACGCAGAAACCGTTGTGCTTTGGCTGTAGTTAGCCCTTTTGCGCATACGGGTCCTCGTGGCAGGCGAACTGTGTGCAACTCCTACTAGATACTTTTTACTGTTATCGCCAGAGCACATAGTACGTAGGGAAGCGCACCGCTCGGCGCGCGGCTGTCTCTCTATTTCAGTGAAGGTGCAAGCGAAAGACTCAACGCGTACAAGAGGTGCATAGGCGGCCAGTATATATATTATAATATAGAGAGTGGTGTGTGTGTGTCTTAAGAGAGAAGAGGGCAGAGCATGAGTGAAGAAATTAGAGTGGTAGAAGAGAGCAGAGAGAGAGAGAGAGAGAGAGAGAAAGTTAAAGAGAGAAAGAGATAGAGAGAGCGGGAGAGAGAGAGAGACAGTCAGAAAGACAGAGAGGCAGACAGAGGCAAGACGCGCGAGTGACGGAAGACGTAGCGCACAGCCGGGACAGATTGCTGATTATATACGTACGGCGCTCGGACGTGAGGACAAGAACGGGTCTGGATATAAACGGTGGACATGGAATCGTCATCTGCTCGCTCCTCACGAGGCAAGACGTCTGCGATCATACACAGTCCGCGCTCCGTCATAGACGCCGAGGGAAATGTCAGCTACTGTAAGTATATGCACTTACTTAGCTCTAGAACTATAACCCTTCTCTCTGTCACAGCCTGTCAGCCTGTGGCAGAGCGAAGGGCTATAGTTCTAGAGCTAACACTCACTGTGGTGGTGAACGGGAAGGTCAATACACTGCTCTGATTAATCACGATTACGGCGAAGGTCACAGTTAGAGTGAGGTTCGGGTTAGCTCTAGAACTATATAGCCCTTCGCTCTGCCATAGGCGACAGGTCTGTGGCAGAGCGATATTAAGCGCTATAGTTCTAGAGCTAGGTTCGGGTAAGCCCGACGAGGCTGTGCGACTGATTGTCTATACAAGGGTCTTCTAACCCTAGCAAGACCGTTTCTTGGAGCTAAGTTCGGGTATGGTCAGAACTATAGTTACCTAACCTCAACGCGTAATTCTAACCCAAGCCAAACAATAACCACTTAACCATGATCACAGATCTAGCTTGAACCCTTCTCTAGCTCCACCTTGACCATAACTATATATGACCTTGGCGCGTAATGAAAACCTTATGAGGGATGGGGATGTATAAAAGTATATGAGAGAAAGGAGAGAGCTTTATTGCAGTTACCGGGCGATGTGATAAAGATAGGCGACAAAAAGAACGCTTGCGTCACTTATTTTTCATATATGATTAGGAAGGCAGTTATTCTATTCTATTCTAGTATATTGTAATATATTATATTATATTATATTGTAAGATATTATATTATATTTTATTGTAATATATTATATTTTATTTTATTATATTATATTATATTATATTCCATATTCTATTCTAGTCTAGTCTATATACTAATCTATGATGTACTATACTCTTCCGTTGTATGCAGTTCTATTGTCAATTATACCGTGGATAATAGTGTGTAGGCCTACTCTCTGTGGCAAGATTTCCTTTGGTTTAAAAATATGCCCCGCGAATGGCCATGACGTCAATGGCGATCAACAGGAAGTTCGTGGAATAGAATTTTGACCCTGCTCACGAGGCCACGAACAGGCACTCGATGGCTGTGTGT